TCTTTTGATGGTAATTCCCTGTGGGTTTAGGATCTGAATGAATCACTCTTCTTTCTCTTTTACCTATCATCTACACCTCTGGGTATGTAGGTGGTATGTATACACTTAGTCAGTTGCAAAAGAGGCAAATATTAGAAGGCAACAATGTGTTATATGTAGTATAAAAAGTTTAAGAAGGGGGCTGGGGTTGTGGCTCAGTGGTAGAGCGCTTGCCTTGCATATGTGAGGCACTGGGTTCGATCCTCAGTACCACATAAAAATAAATAAAGGTATTGTGTCCATCTACAACTAACTTAAAAAAAAAAAGTTTAAGAGGCTTTCAGGTTCCAGTCTGGAATGTAAGGAGTTAGAAGTTACCCGTACATTTAAACAAGTAAAAAGCCCAACAGACAGAAAAACCTAATCATTCTTCTTAGGTTCATGAGAAAAGTGGTGTCACAGGGCAAATCATTGCTTCTGCTGCTGGAGAGATTGACGGGCTAATGCAGAGATTCATGATTTGCCACACTAGAAAACTCCCCAGCTGAAACCCCTCCAGGAACCAGTGGCAATTGCTTGAGGTTCGGCATGGACAGGGCTGAGAGGTGAAAACTCCAGGGGCACCCCACACTTGGGGAGTTTTGCCTCCAGGAACTCAACCAGGTTCTTACAGTAAATAAAACAAAGAAAAATCCCCTATGACTTCTGGCAGAAGAAGGAAGAAGGTTTGCCCTCAAGAAAAACTAATTAATCAAAGTATAAACTGTTGGGGTTTTATTAAAAACTAGCTGACCCTGGGGGGAAGGAAAGCACCTAACTCCTGTTCCCTGGAGACATCCTGTCCCACCAAAGTGAGGAGAAGAGGCAGAGAAGCACATGTGGAATTCCTAGTCCAGAGGTACAACTAAGACTGTAGGAGACTTCCCCTCCCCCTCTTAGCTCACCACTACATTACTAAAGACCTAATTTTAGCATGGAGCCCATGTCTGGTTGTCAAGAAGAAATTATAGGATGTACTCAAAGGCAAAAAGAAAAAAAAAAGGCACAGATTGAATAGATAATACAAACATCAGAACCCAAGTCAGACATGATTATCAGACTGGAAATTTTCAACAACTATGATTTTAATGCTAAGGACTCTAAAGATAAAGTAGACAGCAAGGAAGAATAGATGATCAATGTAAATAGAAGACGAAAATCCTGAAAAAGAATTTTAAAAATAAATGTTAGGGAACAGAAGCACTGTAACAAAAATAAAGAATGCCTTTGAGGGACTTCTTAATGGACTGCACATGGCTGAAAGAAGAATCCCGAGCTTGAAGGTATAGCAATAGCAACTATTAAAACTAAAAGCAAAGAGAAAAAAAAGACTGGGGAAAATAAAACAGAACAGAATATCTAAGAACAACTACAAAAGATATTACAGAACAACTACAAAAGATATTACATGTGGCATAATGAAAATTCTAGAAGAAGAGATAAAAGAACAGAAAAAAATATTTGAAACAATAATGAATATTTCTCCCAAATGAATGTCAGACACCAAATCACAGACCCAGGAGGCTCAGAGAACATTAAGCAGGATAAATGTAAAACAAAAATAAAAACAACTCTCCATATTATTTTTTGAAGTACAAAATGTCAAAACTAAAAAAAATAAATAAATACTTCAAGAAGCTAGGGGAGGACCATAGACAATACACCTTACTTATAGAGATGCAAAGATAAGAACCACATCCAACTTCTCAGAAACCATGCAAGCAAGAAGAGTGTGGTGTGAAATATTTAAAATATCGAGAGAAAAATAAATAAAAACAGCAACATAGAATCCCATTCCCTGCAAAATTGTTCTCCAAAAGGGAAAAGGAAATAAAAACATCTCGGACAAATATAAATTTGGTGCTAATAAACCTTCCCTGTAAGAAATGCTAAAGAAATTCTTTAGAGAGAAGGAAAAAGACAAAGGTCAGAAATTCAAATCTACATAGGGGAAGATCATCAGAGAAAGAATAACTGGAGGTAGAATAAAAAGCTTTCATTTTTTTGTATTCTTGATTCATCTAACAGATAATGGTTTATTCAAAGTAATAATCTAATAGTGTGTATTATATATATATTACATGTAAGTGAAATGAATGACAGAAATTGTACAAGGGGCAGCAGAGAAGAATTAGGATTATTTTATTATAATGAGGTACTTACACTACCCTTTAAGTAATAGAGTATTTCTTGAATGGAGTTGGATTCATTACAAATTTATATCATAAAATCTAGGGAAACTGCTATAAAGTGAAAAAATGAGATATAACTCACGCCAAAAAGAAAAAAAAATGGAATGATATAAAATGCTGAATTAGAAACAAAGGAAGCTGGGAATGGTGGCACACACCCAACATGCACAAAGCCCTAGGTTCAATCACCACAAAAGAAGAAGGGGGAGGGGGGCAGGGAGGAGAAGAAAGAAAAGAAGAAGGAGGCAAAGAAGGAGAAGAAGATCAACAACCTTAACAGACACCTCATCAAAGATAAATAGAAAATAAGGATATGACAAAATGCTCCACATCATATGTCACCAGGGAAATGCAAATCAACACAGTGAGATGCCCCATACATCTGTTATAATGACCAAAATCTGGAGCACTTACCCCACTTAATGAGGTGAGGACATGGAACAGTAATAACTCTTCATTTGTTGCTGGTGGAAACAAAAAATTGTATAGCCACCCTGGAAGACAGCTTGGCAGTTTCTTAAAAATCTAAACAGACTTTTACCTGTT